TTTACTCCAATATCAAAACAGCTACGGTAAAAATAAAAAGACGTGCATCATCCCGGACATAATGCAACACCACATGCGAAATTACACAGAAATGCGACGTACGGAAGAATGCGTTTTGGCTGCGAACATCTTCCAAAAAACTTGGCATCTCTTAACCATGGGCAAAAACATCTGGAACCACTTATAAAAACCACCCCGTATCTGCATGAACTTTTTTGAACCCCACTGCTATTCCAAACAACGCGTTTTTCTGGACCATTCCAATTCGCCTCGTAATTGTAGGGGTGCGTCTGCGATATTACATTGACCGCGAAAGCAGCAACGTCAAAAATACACATTCGTGCATCAACACGGGCATGCCCGCAGACGGCGTATAAAATTGCGTGCCGATTACACAAAGAGAACCCAGTGTTTTGACTGCGAACATGAAAAATCAGCCGATTACAACACTCCGTCCGGAGGTCCTGACCTCCTTCACGGAGTAATAAGCTTGAATAGATATATAGACAGATAGATTAACATAGATAGATATGATAGTAGATAGACTGCTGATAGATGGACTCATCGTCAGATAGATAGCAGACAAATACAGAGATGGATAGAGATTGAGATGAATAGAAATAGAGATGGATATGGGGTTCTTTGTAGTCATGATTACGGCTACAGAGTTTCAGTCCTCATTGAAATGTGGAAAACCTCCACAACGACATTAGTGACTCTTCCCTTACTTAAGTTATACGAGCCCCCATTCAGTACTAACTTCGAATCTGCTGTCTTCCTCCATTAGTTTCTTCATATACGTCAGGGAACCGCAGGTAAGAACGACCCTCCCTCGTGAGATATTTTATTGCACGTAAAGCACCAAGGAACACTGCATTGTCTTCAAGATAAGACCACACGCTTCACGGTTTGGTACTTTATTCCTGTCACGCACAGATCTAGAAGTTCGCACAGAATTCGAACCTGGCTACATTTGGCTGGCTTTGGTTGAACTGGGTGATTTGAGTTCATAACCACGCACAAATGCGAAGCTTCAGTGAATAATAGCTCTGAATCAGATTTGAAATCACCGACTAGAAAGGTTAGATATATACTAGCTAGTAGGATACACAAGCACACAGTGACCCGCTAGCTTCGGGTAGTCCTCCGGCCTGATGCAGTGTCCAGTGGACACTGCATCAGACCAGGGCAAGTGACTGGTTCAGAAAAGCTACTCCAGCCATGAACCGTGATGAGGGGGGATACAATATACAATATTGGTCACCTGTTGACCGCATTCTTCCTGACAACAGCGCCACCTACATGTTGCGGCGGAAAGTAGCACCAGTAATAGTATTGCTCTGGGGGAAGTTGAGAAGGATTACTGACTGAATTATTGGAGCGAATTGAAGCAAATGGCCGAAACGTTACGTTAACGATCGCAAAACCACGAATCAATGAATGATAACAGCCACTGGGAACACTTTGCCAGTTGCTTGATGTTCTTAGAAGCACTTGCGGGATCAAATACAGTTTTTGTATAAACGAAACAGACGGCGGTTGCAAATATGTATCCGCTGATAATATGTAAAAGTTGACGCTCATCCAGCGGCTAGGATGAAGTGATCCGCGGAGAATTTGCGGTGAGCCTCT